CGCTGTAGCTTGCCTCATTTATGGTTCGATGTTACGATACATGGGAACCATTAAATTACTTGTTTCCAACACACCAAACCCTAAGTTCTAGCCAACTTAATTATTCTAGCAGTATTGTTTTTTTTTTTTTTTTTTTTTTTGAATTGGTGTTAAGCTTGAATCGGATTTCAATATGATAATTTTCATGACATTATAATATATTTTTATATGTGGCAACATGAAATCTAAGAAATCCACTAGACAGCATGAAATCTAGAAATCCAACTATGTTTGACATTGATATATTTGCAGAATTCATTAGTTCACAATTATAGGGTAATCTAAATAGTATTTACCTCGTTATAAGCTGTCATTGCTGGTTTAGACGAATTCGGTGCGAGCAGTCAGCCAGTTCGCATATTCTCTTCACAATAAATGTCATTGCCTTGCCACAGAGCCTCATCCCGATTTTTTTTTGGGCTTTAAGGAGATCCCCGGAGGAAACCAACCCCCCTTAGGGAGCCTCATCCCGAACCTGCTTGGTGTATCGATGTGAGAGCTTCATCTGCCGTGCAAAGCGCCTTGTCAAACCTGTGAGCGAAATCTGTGAGGAGCTAGCAGATCCACTCATAGTGAAGCAGCCAGGCTAAGAGCGGGTCCGAAGTGAACGTGACATCCGTTGACATCCGATGCCGGTAAATCCTGACGGTTGGAACTCTGCATCCGAGGGTTGACATTTACCGACATCCAGCGACATCCATTCGACGCTTCACTTTCTGACACGCTCTAAGAAGTGCGATGCAGGCGGGGGACGACAGCTCCAGCCAGCTCCCAGGCACCTGGGCGACGATGCGTGGAAGTTTGAGAATGAACACGAAGTAGTTCTTGAGAGGATTTATCTAATTTCTTCTAAGTGTGAGTGAAGACTCAGGGGGCAAAGCGGGATCTCACTGTTCGTCTGTTAGCAAAGTGTGTAATTATTAACACCACGACCCTCTGAATGCGAAGTTGGTGCTAAAGACTCGGCAAAAAAATAGGCATGTGATGATGTGCCACCGAACACCTCCAAAAACCTAATTTTCCCCTTCACCAGCTCTGGGAGGTTCAAGAACGAAAATCGCACGCGGTAGGAATCATGGCCCAAGTCTTTCCGTTGTTCAGACGACTTGCAGGCTCGGGTTGGAGTTCGAGGTTAGGTTCGGAAGTAGGTGAGGAGGAACCTTGTGCGTGTGCCGGCTCGCTGGGTCCTTCCCGCTGGGTCCTTCCGTCTGACAGAACCTCCTCCCAGGCCTCGGGGCGTCAACCTGCCAATTCTCCAAATTTAGACAGGGCAGCAGTACTGTGCTTTGTGAGCCCATTCCAAGCACTGCCGCTCAGTGCTGTCTAGGCAAGTTCCATCCCTCAGTGACACCTTTCGAGTTAGCATCCATCCGCTTTGCTGTGTAGTCTCGTTTTCCCTCCGTCACCTTCGCTGGGATTCCTATTGTGAAAATTTTGAACTAATGTCACCACCAGAGGTGGTGGCAGTTGTAGCAGAGCAGTTCAGTCGCTCCGCAAATGCCGCCGCCAGAGCCAACTACGATGCAGCTGCGAGCATGGGTTGCACTCTCCGCCGCGCTTTGGCTTGTTGCGTTCATCTCCCCAAGCCACGCGCAAACCGTGATCAGATTGAACGCTACACAAGGTACGTCCGTTCTTCCTCGAACAATGCTACTACTACTACTACCAGTGTAACACATTACCTACTCCAACCAGCACAGGTACCGGAATGCTTCTCTAATTTGTACCTCCCTTCCTCCTCGCAGCCTGGTGTAGCGATGCGTCTGATAGTAGTACTAGTAAGTGGGTAAAGACGTCACGTAGTAGGCGCTCATGGTTACTAGTAGACTGCCAACGACAGGTAGGAGGCAGCCATAGTAGTAGTACAGGTAATACCGCCGCACGGCGATGCCTTAGGATGAGTTGGTAACAGCGAGCAATGCCTCTCAACCTCCCTTTTCGTACCTCGTGCAAACCTCACTGTGGTACCATCATCATCGCGCGGTTTTGCACTGCCACAATGCGAGTAGCACTCGTGCGGCACGTGTTCTACACGTGCCGATGTTGTTCCTAGGTGTGCGCGTTTAGAGCCGATGCTTTGAGGCGGGGATGGGAGAGACCCATCGTCACAAGAGCCTTTCCTTGGTTATAGTAGCAAGCGCGGAAAGCAGGGAGCGTTTCGGCGCTGGCTGTAGTAGTGCGACTGCTTAAAATCTTCCCTCCCCCCCCTCTCTCCCCCCCTCCCCAAAAAGTATGTGGTAGCAAAGCTGATTCCCTGACACATTTCCCGCGCAGGCTGTATATATCCATCAGCGTCAACGCAGACCCGTACGCTGTATCCACTCTTCACATTGTGCCTCGAATGGCCCTTACTGATAAGGGGGGAAGTACAACCAGGGTTATAAAGGTTGGTACAGGGGTGCCTGCCACGGCCTAACACTAAGCAAGTCTCCAGCGGAGCTTCTACCCGATGCGTAGCGGCTGAAAGAAGGTGTTCACTGCCGTCGGGGCTGCCACAGAGCCAGCGTGGGTCTTGGCGATCAGTGCGTTCTGGTACACCAGAGGCGGAGTGTAACGCATAACCTACTCTGCCTCATCTACCGCTAACTTCCTAAGTCAACATCGAGAGACTTCCTCGATGAGAAATGACGTGAAGGCAATCGGGAAGGTTGAGTTGGAGAAGAACATTGGTTTGGTTTTCCCAACCCTCAACCTTGAGGCTTGGAAACTTCCAACCCATCAAAGTGAAGATTGGAAAGGTTGGATTTCCAACCAATCAAGTTGTGCCAGTTGTTGTTACAATCCACACAAACTTAAAACAACCATACAATTGTGCTAAGTTGGGTTTTTCCCAAACCAAACTATATTGCCACCTAGGCTCCAAGCCTATTTGCTCCCCAACCATGGAAGCCATGGTTGGGAAAAGCCCCAAGGGGTATGATGGAAGGGGTTGGAGCTCTCAAGCTCATTCCCACTTCCCAACTCCAACAATCTAACTTGGAAATGGGATTTTTACTCTAAGTCTTTTGGGTTCTCCTAATAAGCTCCCCTATACAACTAGACTTGTGATTTTTCAAGGACAAGCTCTACAAGAAGCTCCTACCTACTTATTAAAGCTTCATCAACCTTCTTCAAGCTCCCTTTTCTCCTCTCAAGCTTGAGGAGTACTGTCAAGGCTAAATTACCCCTTGGTGGGTTTAGTTGATCTTGAAAGCCTTGTATCTTGATTTTATAAATGTTGTCAAGGGTGATTTATATTTAACACACGGTTGCCCGTTGTTATAAGGGCCGTGATTGTTACACGGAGGCGCGGTCTGGGTCGTAGACCACAGTAGCGTGGCTTCCGTTACTGTGGCGCAGTCTGCCACAGAGCCAGCGTGGGTCTTGGCGATCAGTGCATTCTGATGCCGTTACTCTGGCGCAGTCTGCCACAGTAACCTCACAGATCCACTCTGCCCCAGTTCAGCCCCTCCACTGGTGTGTACAGCGTAGTCTCCCACTGTGCCGCAAAGCCCGCGTCGGCGGCTGCAATTCCGGTCGACTTTTGAGTCGACTCAAAAGTCAACTCGATCCACACTGCTCCAGTTCAGCCCCTCCACTGGTGTGTACAGCGTAGTCTGCCACTGTGCCGCAAAGCTATGTTGGATTATACGCTCTAGACCCTTTGCGTTTAGCGTATCTACGCTAGCGTGTACACGCAATACGCTAAACGCTAGCAAATACGCAATACGCAGCCATAATTTTTTTCGGGCAGCCTGGAAAATTAAAATCGGGAAAAGATGCGGATTTTCTTGGTGAACTTTTCGCCGGAGTCGAAATGCAAATCCGCGGTCTATGCAAGCTGGGATCTGACTTCGAAGTTTTCAGGCACATCTGGCTATTCAAATGTCGAATTTCAGGTCCCATCTAGGCATTTGAACCCATCCCCTCCACCGCATTGAAAACCATCTTATCTACGAACTCCAACCTATCAAAATCGAACCCCCAACAAACCTCACGCTACTTACCAGCCAGCCCAACTCCTAACCCGTCATTCCTACCTTGCATTCCCGCTTGCAGCAGTGTCCCCGCGCGCGCACTTCAACTTGAACAACCTCTCCAACACTACTCCCTATAGCTATGATGTCTACTCCCCGCCCCACCCAACCCGCCGATCGGACTCAGGAAAATGCTAGGGCACGTCTTAGTGAGATGTGTTTTCGACCGATAGGGATTTTTTCCACCCTGCCCGAAATGTTTTTTCCCTGCCCGAAAAAGCGTATGCCTGATCCGACCCTCAAGCGTATGGCGTATACACGCTAGCGTATATACGATACGCATATATACGCTAAACGCGTATAATCCATCATAGCCGCAAAGCCCGCGTCGGCGGCTGCAATTCCGGTCGGGCACATTCGTTGCGCATCGACCGGTGGGTTCCTATGCGTCCTTTCCCCCCGTTCCGCACCGCAGCAGGTGGTTGGGGAGTCTAGTGCACAGTACCTGGGTTGGGTCTTGTCGCAGCAGCACAGTATTTGGGTGTTGCCGCGGCAGTCACATGTGCCAGGTACCTCCTGGGGTAGGCCGAGCCGCCAATGCTGATGTGAAGTGAGCAGGAGAGAGCTGCAGACTGCGGGTAAATGGGACGAACATGAGCCAATTAGTGGGTAAAGGGGACGGCCATCAGCCAAATCCCCGCACCCGGGCCAATCAGGGACATAAAGCACTGCGTGTGGCCCATCAATGGGTAACAGGCATGGCCATCAACCAGTTCCCTGCTCTGCTCTAGGAGATCCCCGTAGCAGCCAGAGTGGACTGCCAAAGGTAGGGCATTCTGACCGTTCAAGATGTCTGCGCTGCGCCCTCCCGGAGCTGGGCGAGAGTGGGGATGCCGACCAACGGAAGGGTTGCTTCTGCTACGGCGATGCAAGTAGGGAGGGTCACACGTGCTTCTGCCGGCAGTGGGGAAGGCTAAAAAAAGATGAGCAGGGCTGCAATAATTCTCAAAAAATCGGTCCAGAAGGGGTGGAGGGCGTCTCCGAGATGCGTGAGGAGGGCTGCAGGTAGTCGCCGTTGACGGCATGTAGGCATAGTTGCAATCCGCTGCCGGATCGGTGATGCCGAGGCCTCCCAGGGTAGGTGGGAGTGAGGCGGCAGGCGGGCCGACCGGACTGCCGAAGATGCACGCGCAGGCCGCCCTCGTTGAAGGGCACGTCTTGGGGGAGGTCACCCTCGTTGAAGGTGCTCGCACACGTCGGGGTGGTGAAGCGAGTAGGTGCTTGCCCACGTCGGGGCGGTGAAGCGAGTAGGTGCTCGCCCACGTCGGGGCGGTGAAGCGAGTAGGTGCTCGCCCACGTCGGGGTGATGAAGCGAGTAGGTGCTCGCCCACGTCGGGGTGGTGAAGCGAGTAGGTGCTCGCCCACGTCGGGGTGGTGAAGCGAGTAGGTGCTCGCCCACGTCAGGGTGGTGAAGCGAGTAGGTGCTCGCCCACGTCGGGGTGGTGAAGCGAGTAGGTGCTCGCCCACGTCGTGGTGGTGAAGCGAGTAGGTGCTCGTCCACGTCATGGTGGTGAAGCGAGTAGGTGCTCGCCCACGTCGGGGTGGTGAAGCGAGTAGGTGCTCGCCCACGTCGGGGTGGTGAAACGAGTAGGTGCTCGCCCACGTCGGGGCGGTGAAGCGAGTAGGTGCTCGCCCACGTCGGGGCGGTGAAGCGAGTAGGTGCTCGCCCACGTCGGGGCGGTGAAGCGAGTAGGTGCTCGCCCACGTCGGGGTGGTGAAGCGAGTAGGTGCTCGCCCACGTCGGGGTGGTGAAGCGAGTAGGTGCTCGCCCACGTCGGGGTGGTGAAGCGAGTAGGTGCTCGCCCACGTCGTGGTGGTGAAGCGAGTAGGTGCTCGCCCGCGTCGTGGTGGTGAAGCGAGTAGGTGCTCGCCCACGTCGTGGTGGTGAAGCGAGTAGGTGCTCGCCCACGTCGTGGTGGTGAAGCGAGTAGGTGCTCGCCCACGTCGGGGTGGTGAAGCGAGTAGGTGCTCGCCCACGTCGGGGTGGTGAAGCGAGTAGGTGCTCGCCCCGCGTCGTGGTGGTGAAGCTAGTAGGTGCTCGCCCACGTCATGGTGGTGAAGCGAGTAGGTGCTCGCCCACGTCGGGGTGGTGAAGCGAGTAGGTGCTCGCCCACGTCGGGGTGGTGAAGCGAGTAGGTGCTCGCCCACGTCGGGGCGGTGAAGCGAGTAGGTGCTCGCCCACGTCAGGGCGGTGAAGCGAGTAGGTGCTCGCCCACGTCGGGGCGGTGAAGCGAGTAGGTGCTCGCCCACATCGGGGTGGTGAAGCGAGTAGGTGCTCGCCCACGTCGGGGTGGTGAAGCGAGTAGGTGCTCGCCCACGTCGGGGTGGTGAAGCGAGTAGGTGCTGGCCCACGTCGTGGTGGTGAAGCGAGTAGGTGCTCGCCCACGTCGTGGTGGTGAAGCGAGTAGGTGCTCGCCCACGTCGTGGTGGTGAAGCGAGTAGGTGCTCGCCCACGTCGTGGTGGTGAAGCGAGTAGGTGCTCGCCCACGTCGGGGTGGTGAAGCGAGTAGGTGCTCGCCCACGTCGGGGTGGTGAAGCGAGTAGGTGCTCGCCCACGTCGGGGTCGTGAAGCGAGTAGGTGCTCGCCCACGTCGGGGTGGTGAAGCGAGTAGGTGCTCGCCCACGTCGGGGTCGTGAAGCGAGAAGGTGCTCGCCCACGTCGTGCTGGTGAAGCGAGTAGGTGCTCGCCCACGTCGGGGTGGTGAAGCGAGTAGGTCCTCGCCCACGTCGGGGTGGTGAAGCGAGTAGGTGCTCGCCCACGTCGGGGTGGTGAAGCGAGTAGGTGCTCGCCCACGTCGGGGCGGTGAAGCGAGTAGGTGCTCGCCCACGTCGGGGCGGTGAAGCGAGTAGGTGCTCGCCCACGTTGGGGCGGTGAAGCGAGTAGGTGCTCGCCCACGTCGGGGCGGTGAAGCGAGTAGGTGCTCGCCCACGTCGGGGCGGTGAAGCGAGTAGGTGCTCGCCCACGTCGGGGTGGTGAAGCGAGTAGGTGCTCGCCCACGTCGGGGTGGTGAAGCGAGTAGGTGCTCGCTCGCGTCGTGGTGGTGAAGCGAGTAGGTGCTCGCCCGCGTCGTGGTGGTGAAGCGAGTAGGTGCTCGCCCACGTCGTGGTGGTGAAGCGAGTAGGTGCTCGCCCACGTCGTGGTGGTGAAGCGAGTAGGTGCTCGCCCACGTCGGGGTGGTGAAGCGAGTAGGTGCTCGCCCACGTCGGGGTGGTGAAGCGAGTAGGTGCTCGCCCACGTCGGGGTCGTGAAGCGAGTAGGTGCCCGCCCACGTCGGGGTGGTGAAGCGAGTAGGTGCTCGCCCACGTCGGGGTCGTGAAGCGAGAAGGTGCTCGCCCACGTCGTGCTGGTGAAGCGAGTAGGTGCTCGCCCACGTCGGGGTGGTGAAGCGAGTAGGTGCTCGCCCACGTCGGGGTGGTGAAGCGAGTAGGTGCTCGCCCACGTCGAGGTGGTGAAACGAGTAGGTGCTCGCCCACGTCGGGGTGGTGAAGCGAGTAGGTCCTTGCCCACGTCGGGGTGGTGAAGCGAGTAGGTGCTCGCCCACGTCGGGGTGGTGAAGCGAGTATGTGCTCGCCCACGTCGGGGCGGTGAAGCGAGTAGGTGCTCGCCCACGTCGGGGCGGTGAAGCGAGTAGGTGCTCGCCCACGTCGGGGTGGTGAAGCGAGTAGGTGCTCGCCCACGTCATGGTGGTGTAGCGAGTAGGTGCTCGCTCGCGTCGTGGTGGTGAAGCGAGTAGGTGCTCGCCCGCGTCGTGGTGGTGAAGCGAGTAGGTGCTCGCCCACGTCGTGGTGGTGAAGCGAGTAGGTGCTCGCCCACGTCGTGGTGGTGAAGCGAGTAGGTGCTCGCCCACGTCGGGGTGGTGAAGCGAGTAGGTGCTCGCCCACGTCGGGGTGGTGAAGCGAGTAGGTGCTCGCCCACGTCGGGGTCGTGAAGCGAGTAGGTGCCCGCCCACGTCGGGGTGGTGAAGCGAGTAGGTGCTCGCCCACGTCGGGGTCGTGAAGCGAGAAGGTGCTCGCCCACGTCGTGCTGGTGAAGCGAGTAGGTGCTCGCCCACGTCGGGGTGGTGAAGCGAGTAGGTGCTCGCCCACGTCGGGGTGGTGAAGCGAGTAGGTGCTCGCCCACGTCGAGGTGGTGAAACGAGTAGGTGCTCGCCCACGTCGGGGTGGTGAAGCGAGTAGGTCCTTGCCCACGTCGGGGTGGTGAAGCGAGTAGGTGCTCGCCCACGTCGGGGTGGTGAAGCGAGTATGTGCTCGCCCACGTCGGGGCGGTGAAGCGAGTAGGTGCTCGCCCACGTCGGGGTGGTGAAGCGAGTAGGTGCTCGCCCGCGTCGGGGTGGTGAAGCGAGTAGGTGCTCGCCCGCGTCGGGGTGGTGAAGCGAGTAGGTGCTCGCCCGCGTCGGGGTGGTGAAGCGAGTAGGTGCTCGCCCACGTCGTGGTGGTGAAGCAAGTAGGTGCTCGCCCACGTCGGGGCGGTGAAGCGAGTAGGTGCTCGCCCACGTCGGGGCGGTGAAGCGAGTAGGTGCTCGCCCACGTCGGGGAGATGAAGCGAGTAGGTGCTCGCCCACATCGGGGTGGTGAAGCGAGTAGGTGCTCGCCCACGTCGGGGTGATGAAGCGAGTAGGTGCTCGCCCGCGTCGGGGTGGTGAAGCGAGTAGGTGCTCGCCCACGTCGGGGCGGTGAAGCGAGTAGGTGCTCGCCCACGTCGGGGCGGTGAAGCGAGTAGGTGCTCGCCCACGTCGGGGCGGTGAAGCGAGTAGGTGCTCGCCCACGTCGGGGCGGTGAAGCGAGTAGGTGCTCGCCGACGTCGAGGTGGTGAAGCGAGTAGGTGCTCGCCCACGTCGGGGTGGTGAAGCGAGTAGGTGCTCGCCCACGTCGGGGTGGTGAAGCGAGTAGGTGCTCGCCCACGTCGGGGTGGTGAAGGGAGTAGGTGCTCGCCCACGTCGGGGTGGTGAAGCAAGTAGGTGCTCGCCCACGTCGGGGTGGTGAAGCCAGTAGGTGCTCGCCCACGTCGGGGTGATGAAGCGAGTAGGTGCTCGCCCGCGTCGGGGTGGTGAAGCGAGTAGGTGCTCGCCCAAGTCGTGGTGGTGAAGCGAGTAGGTGCTCGCCCGCTTCGTGGTGGTGAAGCGAGTAGGTGCTCGCCCACGTCGGGGTTGTGAAGCGAGTAGGTGCTCGCCCACGTCGTGGTGGTGAAGCGAGTAGGTGCTCGCCCACGTCGGGGTGGTGAAGCGAGTGGGTGCTCGCCCACGTTGGGGTGGTGAAGCGAGTAGGTGCTCGCCCACGTCGGGGTCGTGAAGCGAGTGGGTGCTCGCCCACGTCGGGGTGGTGAAGCGAGTAGGTGCTCACCCACGTCGGGGTGGTGAAGCGAGTAGGTCCTCGCCCACGTCGGGGTGGTGAAGCGAGTAGGTGCTCGCCCACGTCGGGGTCGTAAAGCGAGTAGGTGCTCGCCCACGTCGGGGTGGTGAAGCGAGTAGGTGCTCGCCCACGTCGGGGTGGTGAAGCGAGTAGGTGCTCGCACACGTCAGGGTGGTGAAGCGAGTAGGTGCTCGCCCACGTCGGGGCGGTGAAGCAAGTAGGTGCTTGCCCACGTCGGGGCGGTGAAGCGAGTAGGTGCTCGCCCACGTCGGGGTGGTGAAGCGAGTAGGTGCTCGCCCACATCGGGGTGGTGAAGCGAGTAGGTGCTCGCCCACGTCGGGGTGGTGAAGCGAGTAGGTGCTCGCCCACGTCGGGGTGGTGAAGCGAGTAGGTGCTCGCCCACGTCCGGGTGGTCAAGCGAGTAGGTGCTCGCCCACGTCGGGGTGGTGAAGCGAGTAGGTGCTCGCCCACGTCGGGGTGGTGAAGGGAGTAGGTGCTCGCCCACGTCGGGGTGGTGAAGCAAGAAGGTGCTCGCCCACGTCGGGGTGGTGAAGCTAGTAGGTGCTCGCCCACGTCGGGGTGGTGAAGCCAGTAGGTGCTCGCCCACGTCGGGGTGGTGAAGCCAGTAGGTGCTTGCCCACGTCGGGGTGGTGAAGCGAGTAGGTGCTCGCCCACGTCGGGGTGGTGAAGCGAGTAGGTGCTCGCCCACGTCGGGTTGGTGAAGCGAGTGGGTGCTCGCCCACGTCGGGGTGGTGAAGCGAGTGGGTGCTCGCCCACGTCGGGGTGGTGAAGCGAGTGGGTGCTCGCCCACGTCGGGGTGGTGAAGCGAGTAGGTGCTCGCCCACGTCGGGGTGGTGAAGCGAGTAGGTGCTCGCCCACGTCGGGGTGGTGAAGCGAGTAGGTGCTCGCCCACGTCGTGGTGGTGAAGCGAGTAGGTGCTCGCCCACGTCGGGGTGGTGAAGCGAGTGGGTGCTCGCCCACGTCGGGGTGGTGAAGCGAGTAGGTGCTCGCCCACGTCGGGGCCGTGAAGCGAGTGGGTGCTCGCCCACGTCGCGGTGGTGAAGCGAGTAGGTGCTCGCCCACGTCGGGGTGGTGAAGCGAGTAGGTGCTCGCCCACGTCGTGGTGGTAAAGCGAGTAGGTGCTCGCCCACGTCGGGGTGTTGAAGCGAGTAGGTGCTCGCCCACGTCGGGGTGGTGAAGCGAGTAGGTGCTCGCCCACGTCGGGGTGGTGAAACGAGTAGGTGCTCACCCACGTCGGGGTGGTGAAGCGAGTAGGTCCTCGCCCACGTCGGGGTGGTGAAGCGAGTAGGTGCTCGCCCACGTCGGGGCGGTGAAGCGAGTAGGTGCTCGCCCACGTCGGGGCGGTGAAGCGAGTAGGTGCTCGCCCACGTTGGGGTGGTGAAACGAGTAGGTGCTCGCCCACGTCGGGGTGGTGAAGCGAGTAGGTGCTCGCCCACGTCGGGGTGGTGAAGCGAGTAGGTGCTCGCCCACGTCGGGGTGGTGAAGCGAGTAGGTGCTCGCCCATGTCGGGGTGGTGAAGCGAGTAGGTGCTCGCCCACGTCGGGGTGGTGAATCGAGTAGGTGCTTGCCCACGTCGGGGTGCTGAAGCGAGTAGGTGCTCGCCCGCGTCGGGGTGGTGAAGCTAGTAGGTGCTCGCCCACGTCGGGGTGGTGAAGCCAGTAGGTGCTCGCCCATGTCGGGGTGGTGAAGCCAGTAGGTGCTCGCCCACGTCGGGGTGGTGAAGCGAGTAGGTGCTCGCCCACGTCGGGGTGCTGAAGCGAGTAGGTGCTCGCCCACGTCGGGGTGGTGAAGCGAGTAGGTGCTCGCCCACGTCGGGGTGGTGAAGCGAGTAGGTGCTCGCCCACGTCGGGGTGGTGAAGCCAGTAGGTGCTCGCCCACGTCGTGGTGGTGAAGCGAGTAGGTGCTCGCCCACGTCGGGGTGGTGAAGCGAGTAGGTGCTCGCCCACGTCGGGGTGGTGAAGCGAGTAGGTGCTCGCCCACGTCGGGGTGGTGAAGCGAGCAGGTGCTCGCCCACGTCGGGGTGGTGAAGCGAGTAGGTGCTCGCCCACGTCGGGGTGGTGAAGCGAGTAGGTGCTCGCCCACGTCGGGGTGGTGAAGCGAGTAGGTGCTCGCCCACGTCGGGGTGGTGAAGCGAGTAGGTGCTCGCCCACGTCGGGTTGGTGAAGCGAGTAGGTGCTCGCCCACGTCGGGGTGGTGAAGCGAGTAGGTGCTCGCCCCTATCGGGGTGGTGAAGCGAGTAGGTGCTCGCCCACGTCGGGGTGGTGAAGCGAGTAGGTGCTCGCCCACGTCGGGGTGGTGAACCGAGTAGGTGCTCGCCCACGTCTTGATGGTGAAGCGCGTGGCGTCGCGAGTTGCTCAAAGCACACCCCACTTGGGCCCGCTCCAACACCGTTCTTGCAATCCTCGGGCAAAATGGCTAGGGGCGTGTTGGTGCGGAAGTTGTAAGCCGAAAGGAGAGTGCGGTGCGGACGCAACACTGGGGTGGGCTCTAGAGTGGCTTCGTTGGTTCGGGCAGAGTGGCATGGATTCTAGGGCCTGCAGTGCCTTCGCTGATCTGCCTCGTTTCACCAGAGTGGTGACTCTGGCAAGGGTGCCCGTGGTGTCTGGCAGCTGCAGTGGCGACATGAGTGGGGACATGAGAAAGGGTGTTCTCTGACCGGCCGCGGTTGCGTTGACGGAGCCCTGCTTCTGATTGGGCTAGCAGGTGACGGAGCCCTGCTTCTGGCTGGGCTGCTATGTGTGGCCCGAAATGAAGATCCCCTTCCAAATTGGGTTCAGGCAGCATTGGCGCCTCGGGATGGTGTTGTAGGTCTGGGGACTTTTGAGCCTGGTAATCCGTTCTGGTTTCCCTGGTCTTCAGTGCTATATTTGGAACTTTCCTCATCTCTGCCTCTGTCTCTCTCTCCCCTCCTGTTCCCAACTGTCAGATGTGTTTCTCTGGGACTGCCAAATGGCATGGGGAGGAAAGGCGGTCCAAGGCTGGGCCGTGGGTGCTGACTGTTCCCGCGCCCAAGGACTCACGTGTGATGATTCAGGCATGATCACTTCGATGTAAGTGTGATCATGTTCCCTGTTTGGGATGGATTGGACCCCACACAAGCTGATAGTGTCCTGCAGGCTTGTGTTGATGGATTTCTTTGCTCATTGGTGAAATTTGCACCATTTATTTCCAGTGCTCACGTCACTCGTGTCTCCGTCTGGTTTCCTCATCTTTCTCCCCCCCCCCACCCACCCCACGTAGATCTGAAACGGTGAATCTGAATGGACCTATTCCTGACAGCATCTCCTCTCTCACAGCACTAACTTATCTGTAAGTACCACACAGTGAAACTATTAGCTCGCCTGCGATTAGCTAGTCGAATTCCAGGGAAAGAAGGCAGCTAAGAAGAGACGCATATTGATATAGAGGTAGAGAAGGACACGTTGGTAAGCGATAACACAACAAGAATCCAGCACGGCAGTCACATATAATCGTTGGTTGTTGCATCCAATGCCAGTACTGCTCACCATTAGAATAATATTATTGTATTTTTTTCCATTTTTCCTCACCCTTTGTTTGCCCCTCATAATGTAGCACTTCTCTTGCCTTGTTCTCCTCGTAGTGCTACTCACAGCTTCCCACCATGCTCATACAAAACATCCTCTTGGGTTGCTTGTGTTGCTTTCTATGCTGTCCCTTGGTCCATGCCCACTGTTCTCATCTCCTCACATCTGTCGCCTCAACGCCCCTCCCCGTCCCCCATTCCTCCCCCCCCCCCTCGTGTGCACACACAGGTCTCTTTCAAACAAGAATGTGACGGGCTCCATTCCAAATGGCATCTCCGATCTTTTTCAGCTTTTTCATCTGTATGAAGCACCTCGTTTGGCTGGTGATAAGAACGTACACGATCAACGATCACATGGTTTTGAAACTGTCAATGAATATGCATGATTATGCATATAAGGTGCCAGAGTATGCGGTGTACGTATGGTGTAGCAATGTTAAGTTTGCCACATTCGAGGGTAGGTAGTTGGGGACCAGAGAAAATGACGCGAGGTTGGTAGGAGAGCACCGAGGGGTGGAATTCACGGAACCAATGTGAACAAACCAACCCAGGCTCGAGCCGCACATTGAGAAATGCACGGTTTGAGCCTGGGCCAGGTAAATTCACTCTCTCACACCCACCCGATGCTTTTTGCTTGTTATCCTTTCGTATAGTGGAACGTTGTTGCCTTAACCTTGCAGCCAGGTGACACAACACTCAGGGAGGACCCTTAGGGTGAGAGCTCTATCACTTTCATAGAGAGTGGCTGAGGCAGGACAGGAACAGAGAAGAGCAAGAAGGACAGAATTAAGGACAGATGGCTGGCAATGGCAGCTTTTTGACAAAACCCTCAAGAGAATATCCTTAGTCACATATTTCAGATGCCACACCCAAGGAAGAAGGCAAGGAGTTCCTGGGTGGCCGCACGTTAAGGCTGCCACACGTTGAGGCTTGGCAGCCAATAACGCTGCAATATTGCGGATCATAACGTATATGGCCACGTTGTTGGCAACCAAGCCTGGCTGAATATCCCGCAATTCCTCCTCCTGCCCCCCCCCCCCCCCCCCCCCACACCCCAGCCCAGGGCCCAGGCCCAGGTTCGACGAAAACCACATATTCGTCAGACTGACTGGGTGTGCGACTTGAACCAACAACGATTCGTTTTTTACTCATTTCTGCCTCCCACCATGCTCGTCTTATCCCCCAATTGGATCGTCTGTGTGTGCTTGTTGTCATTCGGTTCGGTCCATGCCCTCTAATCTCATCTCCTCACATATTCCTCCCCATCTCATCCCACACACGCACAGGGAACTTTCAAACAACAATCAGACAAGATCCATTCCCAGTGGCATTCAATCTCTTTTTCAGCTCTCTTATTTGTATGAAGCTCCTTGTTTAAGTTTGGTTCCAAGCGTGCATGGTCAAATATCACAGGCAAGCAATAAAACAAGAGGTTTTGGGTGTTTAAGGGCGTATTCCATGTTGGTGGCAGGGCAACTGTTCACTTCGAGTTGGTGGCAAGTGTACCCGAAAACTTAGTGAGCCGGAAAATGCGCTTGCCACCAACAGTGCGATAAAAAGTTGCCCTGCCACCAACGTGGAAAACGCATATGGCCACTCCTCTTCCCAGACATCCCCCTCCCAGCCTTGGTTCAACAAAAACTTTGTCGAACTGTGTGTGCGCTCAAACTGGTTCAAGCATGAACCAAACTGCAATTCGGGTTAACTCATGTCTATCTCCCAGCATGGTCGTGTCACCTCCCACTTGAATCGTCTGTGTGTACTTGCTGTCGCTCACTCTATGCCCTCTAATCTCATCTCCTCACTTATCCCTCCCTGTCTCATCCCACGCACGCACAGGTTTTTTTCAAACAACAATCTGACGAGATCCATTCCCACTCACATTCAATCTCTTTCTCAGCTCTCTTATTTGTATGAAGCTCCTTGTTTTAGCCCAGTGCCAAGCGTGCATGGTCAAAGTTCACAGGCAAGCAATAAAACAAATGGTTTCGGGTGATTAAAATGTATATGGCCACTCCTCTTCCCGGATATCCCCCTCCCAGCCTTGGATCAACAAAAAAATTGTCGAACTGTGTGTGCGACTTAAAACTGGTTCAAGGGATGAGCAAGGGGCGAACACGAACACGTCGTGTTCGCCCCATCACGAACATCACTGTTTAGCTGATTTCGACCCGATTTCGACACAGGGGGGACTCGAAACCCTAACACATTCTAAGTCAAGGGTAATCTTTTTCCCTCGACATCAATTCATTACCGCAAACCTAATATCCTTCCTCCAGCGACCAAAGGCACCTAGGAACCATAACTACTTGGTTTGCAGCCAAAGAATGATGCGACAAGTTAGAAGTCGACTTTGTGGAGAGGCTCAATGTTGAGAGATCTGTAAAGAGTGGGAGGGGGGGAGTTGGGAATGGTAGATTTAGTGCAGTAAGGAGTGGTGAGCAATGGCGAATTGCTTAAAAATGCTTGTTCCAACACATTCGTCGGAAACAAGTGCCACGTCGAAACTCCCAATCTCCACCAGATCGACCAGCGAAATTGACGATTTGCAGAGTTACACCAACGAACTCACCGATCTACGCAGATCGGCGGACGAAAGCGCCGATATGCGCAGATCGGCGGGCGAAATCTCTGATCTGCGCAGATCGGCGGGTTAAATCGCCGATCTGCGCAGATCGGCGGGTTAAATCGCCGATCTGCGCAGATCGGCGGGCACAGATCGGCGGACGAAAGCGCCGATCTGCACAGAGCGCGAACAAATTCGGGTTTCCTGACCCGACCCGACCCGGCCCGAGCCAAAGTCAGGTCAGGGTCGGCCCGGACCTGTACCCCTGGGTTGGGTCAGGGTATGCAACATCCTGACCCGAGGCTGGCCCGACCTGACCCGAGGCTGGCCCGACCTGACCCGGCCCGGGAACCCGCTCGGCCCGGCCAAGCCGGGTCGGGCCGGGCCAAATGCCCATCTCTAACCTACGTCTCATCGCACGGAGTAGCGACGGCTCGTCCTCCTTGAGCATGGACTGCGCAAAGTCTTAAATGATATCTAACATCTCTAAACTTCAAGAAATGTGTGCAACTCCTTTCTAGTAGTAGGAAATGTCCCTCATATAACTTTAAGACGTAGTGTTG